ACCGTGTGCGACCGTCAAGATAACCCACGCAATTAATCATAAACTTATGCATTCGCCTTCTTTTTTTTTCAATTTACACAATGTGCCGCGTTCATTCATTGTAGTCTCTACGCAGCAATACAAAGGGTGCATTTGACAGTCACCTACGGCAGAATGGAAGCATCCGAACCCCCATAAAAGACACGAAGGTCTCGCTAGTCGTTGGTGTTCGCGACCTCAATCCTTATCTAACGCGAGAATAACAGATTCGGAATGCATTCTCCTGGCCTTCGAGCCTTACCTCACGCCGAGGGTCCTTGAACTAGTTGTCGCAGAAGCGCCAGGAAAAGCAGAACAAACACAAGAGCAAGAGCAATACGCAAACAAGCGGAAGCCGCACGCACCACTTCGGCGTAACTAGTACTCGGTGTAGAAATTGAAATGCTCATGGGAAAATCGACAGAAGTCCATCTTGGTCATCACATCGCATGAATAAGAACTTCAGAGCTAGCTTTAAGCCGCGCCCGTAGCGATGTCAAGGAGCGACATTTTGGTTTTACATTGCGTTGTCGAAGGTGTAATTATCAAGCGAAGATCAATAACTCATAGTGAGAGATTTACACGAGATGCAAGTTACAAGAACAGAAAAAGGATTTCACTTTTTTTTCTTTACTCCAGGCAAATAGGCTGCCACACTTTCTGTGCCACTGATGATCGTCAACACAGCTCGAGCTCTCTTGGCGAGACGTCGTTTTCGAGGAGACGTTTTGGCCGCATAGTTATGCATACTTTTATATGGTGCCTGAAGGAACTGATAGTCAGAACCTCGCTCAGGGCACGTCGTTAACTTTTATGGCCCATTGTTTTACCTTCCTTTTCTTAACCTATATAAAGTTATTAGAATACACCGTCATGCATACAATGCAGATGCACATAGACGTAAAACGGCTCAATCAAATTAAATTCTACAACGGCTGAAGAAAAAAAAATTATCAGACGAAGCCGGGGTTCGACTCTGACTCTGAAACTTCGACAGTACGCAAGAATACAAAAAGAAAACGTATTTTGTGTAGTTGCATAGTATTTTATAGAAATATATGACTGCACATTTCGGCTTTAGTCAGAGACTGCCTGGGTGGCCATGTCTCCTTACGATTCCAGAGTGTTAATTGTTTAATCAGTAGGATAACATTGTCGTGGATGGAAAAAGGCTCGACGAGCGTAAACCGAAAATAATTAGGTTTAATCGTGAAACTTGTGCCAGAAACAAAAAAAAAAAAAAAATGAGTGTCGAAACAGCAGCAGCGAACATCGCGGAGTCAGGCGTGAGGGCTGGCTAAAGCGAAAGTGCGAGAGAGAGTGCCTCGTCGTCGGAAGAGTCTGAGTTAGGGTGTAAGACAGGTGGGGAAACGAGAGCCAAATGAGCGACCGGATTGTGTCCCCCTTGGTTTTCTCTTTTACTGTGACGCCATCTATGTGGAGCACCGCGAACTCTCACTCAGGGTGGGCGACCGGTGGCGACCGGCTAAACTGACGGAGATGGTTTCTCGTGGATTTTCAATGCAAGACTGTCATGCTCTCGGTTTAGTTTTCGCACTCTCCCATAGAGTTTCATGCAAATCCGATTCCAATTTTTATCCTCTCGCCGCAGCGCTATCTGTCGCAAATCGGGAATCCCCGCAAGCAGTCGAGTACACAATCCGCTCAAGGCGCTGCGGTGGGCTTCTATGGGCCGTTTCCCCACCTGTCTATCTTACACCCTGGTCTGAGTGATTCGGCACGACTGCACAAGGCTCCTAATCTGCGACACTTGGCATCTAGAATATTCGACATAGAATGTTCGCGAATGAGCAAGGACGAGACTGACTCGCCAAGGCGGGTTGGCCTCTTTAACTTTTACTTCCGGGGTAACAGTAAACTCAAATTTTTTAGATGTACGAAGAAGGCGGCCTTATTTAGAGCGCATATCAATATATGTTCATCGTTTGCAACCTAACCTCAACATATCAAATTAAAACGGAGTTAAGTTAGTTCCTCCATGCCAAAGACAAAGCCTAGTAAGCAGAGTGTATCACCCATGTATTCATTTTTGCATAATATTCCCCTCGCTCATCTCTTTGACTTCAACAACAAGTTTTTGCCCCATAAAGACAGTAATGCCAAGGAGCCCGCGCTCTCACTACGCTCAATGGACTCACAAATATACAGGGTGTTTTTTCTTTTTTTTTTTCTTTTACACATTTGTTAAAAAAAATAAAAAAACGTGAAAGCTACACTAATGCGGTTTGTGCAGATGGGTTATACGGCCAGGCGGACATAGTGTAGGTGGCTAATTTTTGCGATAAGTCGGCTAATTAATTAAAATTCGTTAATTAACTTTTTAATCAGTAAAACTAGACATATATTACCAATTAGAAACTTGCTGAGCATCATCCGAAACCACTAAATGAACTATTTTTGGAAGGATAGAACGCCGGCAGCAGCATTTTACGGCGTTCTGTAAAAACTCTCCATTCGGACGCGTTTCCAGATTTCGGTTTCTTATCGGAGCGCAACACCGCGCCCGCGGTCCTGCTCCCCAGTGGCTCAGACGCGCAACACATGTGCGCCCTACCTCCCTCCATTCTACAAGGGAGGCAAGGGGTGGTTCGCGCCGCGACCACCGGGGAGCAGGACCGCGGGCATAAAGATGCGCACCGGTAAAAAACCGAAATCTAGAAACGCGTCCAAATGAAGCGTTTTAACAGAACGCTGAGAAATGCTGCCACTGCGTTATACCCTTCTAAAAATAGTTGATTTAGTGGTTTTCGATGGTTATCAGCAAGTTTCTAATTGGGACTACATGTCTATTTTCACTAACTAAAAAGTTAATTAACGAATTTTAAGTAATTAGCCGACTTATTGCAAAGATTATACACCCACATAATGCCCGCCTGGCCTTGTAACCCATCTGCGCAAACTGCATTAGTGTAGCTTTCACGTTTGTTTGTTTGTTTTTTTTTCAAGAAATGTGTCAGATTAAAAAAAAAAAACACCCTGTATATAAGTAGGTGGATGTGTTCGACTCAGCCCTTTTAACCGGGCAGCGGCTTGAACTGCCGATTGACTTCGTGGTGACAACCCCGATTTACGTGCCGGCCGTCCGGTCTCTTTAATTCCAAATTATAAGTAAAGCAATTAGGCTGAAAGGATTATCTTGAATCATTGAATTTTAGTTCATAAGCCCTTATCCGGTGCAGACCGGCAATTTTATTATCTAAGCGGCGAAATCGACAACAAACTGTCCGCATATTTTTTGGCAACGATACTGAATCTTGGCCAGGTTGTGTCGGGGATGCCCCTAAACTTGCCTAATATTAAGTGTTACCTGCGTTCCTTTCCGACGTGATTATGTTGGGTGTAAGTGCGTAGCACGCAATCGAAGAAAACTGACAAAGCAGATGAGGCCTGGAGGATCAATCACTTCCGTCGACTATCCACAATTTGAACTCTCGCCGCTGTTTCCGGAGAGCGCACGCATGCGCAGAGCTCTTCCTGGAGAAGGTCCATTTTCTTCCTTTTCGCCAACACTACCTAGACATTAAAGAGGCACTAAAGTGGATTTTTATATCGTTTCACTTATGATCTAATCTCAGTCTATGTTTCCTAAGCATCTTAAAAAAAGTGCAATCTTGTGTGACCTTTTTTCGTATTAAAAACGCAACAAACCTACCGGCACTTCCCCTTTACTGAGATTTATCTCAGAAAATGGGCGTGCCGAATGTTTATTGGTATTTTTTTATAAAAATAAAGGTTATGCGTAATTGTATTTTTAATTATGAAAGCATACAAAAAAAATATTACGCACATAAAGCTCGACATTCTTTTCTGCTTTTTTATAGGATGAGGTGCTGCGTACAGTCTTCATCGAAACTTTAATATAAGGAGTTAATCACCTCACAAGGACTCCAGGGAACTCTTGTCCGTGTCAATCAGCGGTTTATTTCTTGATGAAGAAGGCATTTTTACTGAAGTCATGCTGGAATTTCTGTGTCCGTATAATCCGCAGTCTCCCCAGCTCTTTCCGCACCCGCTTTTCTCCACTCAGCTCTCTGTTTTTCTTTTTTTCTTTCTTTCTGTATGAAATTTGTGCAACACGTGAAAACACGTCAGCACTCACCTCATGCGCTTCCCTAGGCCACACCTCCCCACCGAATTATCGGTGAACAGAGTACAGCTGTTGTTTTCTTACCATCCTTTCTCACACCCAGTAGTCTAACGAGAAAGTTTCAGAAATGAAAAGGGCTCGCGTCTTCCTTGATTTTCATACTATCTTAATGTCAAACTTGACTGCGATAAATCGCCCTTTTATGTCGCAGTTGAGGACGAAAATAAAATCGCATACGCCGGTGCAGCAGCAGACTGAACAAGTATACTTCGTCTGTAGTTTTTTTAGTACTAAATTATAGAAATTACTCGTTCGATGTAACCACCCAAAATATTTATTGCTGCTCTAATTATATAAGTCGATGAAAAAAAAATATATATATATTGTTTTAAATTAACAAAATCCAATTTTCAATCTGTGCGTAGACACAGTTCACTAACATGAAGGGAAAAAAGAGGTGAGCCGAAAGAATAAATATTTCTTTTATTTACTCCTAATACTCGAGGCTATCAAAGCGTACATTGTGTTTTAATTAAACATGTATTTCTTTGGTTTTTCTGCCTCCTGAATTGGACCAAAAAGTAATTTTAACATACAAAAGAGCTCTTCCAGCGCCCTTTCTACTTGATGCAGGGATGAAGGCTTGACGAAATATATACTGTGTTGCCATAGAACATCCGCACAAACTTCGTTTTTTTTTGTCGGTTGGAGTTCCAGAATTACGGGACATCCTGGATTGTTCATTCGCCTGTTCCACAGGAGAAATTAGCGACACAAAACACAATACCATAGGTTTCTGCCCACACTGATGTGATACAAAGTATTGCGTGTGCACGCTCTTAAGCTACAGGGATGGGAAATTTTTAGTCGACAATGTAATTACCATCTTCCAAGCATAAATTAAATGGACAACTTGTGTAACTAGCGGTCGTTTCTTAGGTGGCTGAGTATCCAGGGCATGTAGGAAGCGATCCTGGTGTAGAGACCGGGCAGCAGAGGACGACCGCATCCTATGCCCCCAGAGACCACGCCAATCACAACGTACTTCTTGCCCTCGCGCACCATCAGTGGGCCACCAGAATCTCCCTGCAGAAAAAAAAAAAAAGAAACAAACCTGCGCCTTAAAATTCTGCATCCCAGGTTCTCAAGAAAGGCTTTCATGCATTACCCGGAGACGCTCGAGGAGCTCGGTAACAGCAGAATATTTACTAAAAGCCACGGACAATGATGTGATGGTTTGTGGTTAGGCATATCGTTTGTCATAATGTACTCAACTCGACAACGTAACTTTTGACCGGTTCATGACCCATATTCTATGTAACATGTATATTACACCACTGAATTGTTGAGCGGACTTTTGTCTCGCAGCCGGCAGGAAAGCACCTGTTATCGCCGACAAGACTATTGTTCGGCCAAGAACTAACAAACTAAAATGTAAGAGAAGACATATGACAAAAAGAGATACAAATGGCTGCAAGCTGCATGTACCGAACTGGGTATGGCAAAGAAATGTGAAAGGGATATTTTAAGTATCGTAAACATCGCGCAACATCAACAATTAATTCAAAATTAACTGCAGTGGTGTTAAAATTACAATCTGTTTCACTTCGTAATGCTACATGGTCAAAAACAAGTTTCAAAAAATTGCGGAAGAGGAGGATTCGCCCATTCCATCACCGGAAGATGCACGCACACATACCTTACTCTAGAGGTCTTAAAGAATCTGTGCAACGATTTTACCGTTCAAAAATTTTTCATCTTCTGTTCCGTACCTTGTCACAAAGGACGCAAAAACACAGCTTCCTTCACAATGTTGCGATTCCGCCGCGTAATGGCTAGGCACAAAATAGACTATTTCCCGATCTGCAGCCACGAACGCCGGCCATGAGAACCACGTGGCATGACGTCAAATGGGGACTTGTAAAAAAAAAGCGAGTTATGCAATTACCTGCTCAATAAAAGGTGTTTTTTGTTCTATAGATCTTGACGTTCCAACAAAAATATAAATGCGTCAAAAACCTCTTATCATCTGCATAGTGTTATTATAATGTACGGTAGAGGTTCAACTGGCGCTTGTGTATATGCGACTTCCGTGGCGCAAATTGAAGCAGACAGCAACCAGTTTACTTTTGCGGTGCTCCTGTGCATTCCCATGAGAAAACGCGAGTTCATCTTGTCTCTTCGCCCGAAAATAACACGGAGCACTTCGGTTATTTGAGTCGTACCTGATAGTATGTACCTTGATTAATATTGTAAAAGTGTAATTGTTTTAGTTACCGCATTTTTCTTCATCAACCAACGATGTTTAACTTTGCTACATTTCAGTCCCAAACGTGTGTTTCGCAACAGGTGTGTAAAACAAGCGATGATTTAAAGCAAAATTACAATCGAAAGGAGTATAGAGTGTGTTCAAGGCTTGCCAGCATTCCGGTGATGCTTATATATTGAAAATATGTCAGCCCTGTCACTATGTGAAAATGACCTCGTTGTGCATGAGCGGATAAAAACATTCAAAACGTAGAGAATGAAGTACATGGGGGCTATAAAAAGTGTCTCTTTGTATCGTTTCGTCTGCCGGGCAGCTTTTATCAGGAACTTGTTCTCAAAGATTTCCAGCTTGCGGGTGTTATTTTGAACGTAGATGTAACATCTACGCTCAGAGCAGAAAAAATTAAGCGATACTACTTATTTAAAGTTGAATATATTGTGTGGCTTCAACTTATTTTGATCGTACATGCACGAGTAGTTACTGATCCAGTGTTACTGCGTAGCTCTTGCTCTTTCCCTTTGTTTTCCAAATGTCCTTCGTTTGGCACGTGCCTCATGCTGAAAAGCGCGTGTTCGCGCTAACAGTGTCCGACAGTGCACATAAATACCCGCACGAAGCCGTTTCAGCACCGTTTTTAATAAGATGAATTTGAAAGAAAAACGCCGTAACTGAGCAATTATTTTGTCGTCCTGACTGAGAAATTTTCCAAGCTACCTGGTACGTACTAATTATCTGGGACATTTTCTCTTATGATCTAGCGCAGGGAGAAAATGCACTCACTTTTTTCATAGAAATGCATTACCGGAAGTCAATTTTGGACTGGTTGCTGTCTGCTGAATTTGCGTCGGCACACTAGCGAATCCCTGGCATACATTATAATAACTCTATGATCATTTGCAAACCTTTTATTATGGATGGAAGGGTGGATGAATCCGGCTGAGCGCTTTGGATCGGGCTGTAGCTTACGCCGCCTAGCCATTTTGTTTTACCACTTAAGCTTAAAATATTTAAATGTGAAAACTATATTCACTCCGCACTGCAAAGAAAGTGAGGCTATAAAACCCTCTTGCTATCAATGCCATTAGTTAATAAGAAAATACCTAGTTTTCTCTCGCTTTCGGCCACCATTCCACTTAATCTTTCCTTGGTAAACTCTACTGTCTTGATATCCACTTTTCCTTCGCTGTCTCTAAAACCCAATGACTTCATTAAATTAATTTTGTCTTCGGTAGGAATAGGTTGAAGCCCTTTACAGTAGAGTATCAAGTGCTCAGCCGTCTCGTCCTCCTCTCCACAAGCAGTATCCATTCCCTGGTACTTCGCTCTGTGTGTTCTGGTTCGCAGAACACCCGTACTCACCTCAAACTACAATGAGCTTCCCCAAGAATTGTCATAAATGCTTTCTTTTGCAATAAATGTTTTCTTTATTCTATAGCTTTCCAGAGCCGTCTTTGTCCGCATTCCCTCTAGCCACCGATCTCTTTCGGTGTCCTTAACTTTCTTCTTAACTTATACCTTCTCTTCCGTAACGCCACTATAGCCCAAAAACTTTCCTCTTAATTTCCTAGTGCACTGTCTCCACTTTGTGTCTATACTCCTCATCTATAAATAGATGAAAACCTCTCATGCCCATTGGTCCCCATCCACTCGCCTGAGCCGATCCTCAAATTCTATCTTGCTCACCGCTTCCCTGCTCTCAAATGAGGCCCATTCCATGTCTCCTTGTACTCCCTGGTTTGGCGCTTTGCAATGTGGCCCCAAAGCCAGCCTACCAACTCCGGAGGTTTGGTGGCGCCATCTATCCGAGGTCAATAAAACCGTCAGCTCTATCTGCTACCGCGAGGAGCCGCTAGAAGCCTATATAGAAGCCGAACAGGGACGGACGGACCCGGACGAGCACGTTGGCACTTTTCTCCTTTCGCCATGTTAATCGTACTGCACAGACCGCTCAAGCACACGGTCACGTGGTAGTGAGCAGGTGAATTCTTGCTGCTCACTGATGGCGCTAGAGAGAGAACTTCAGCGGAACACCGCGCTTCCTCCTTTTACGTCACAGCGCACGTGTCTCGGAAGGTGATGAAGGAGTTCTGAGGTGCCAAAAAAACTCAATCTTCGCCCTTTTTTAATTAAAAACTAAAACATGCAGGCAAAACCAATTTTTAGAGCACACCTGTCAGGCGCCCGATTCCGGGTGTCACGGCGTCATCGTCGGCGTCGGCGTAACCGCGCTAAATTTAGAGGGGAAAATTGACGTCACATGACTTAAACACAAAGTCGATTCTCTGCTAAATTTGGGGGAAAATTCAGTTTCTCCACTAGATTTAGTGGGGAACTTCGGTTCCTCCATTAGATTTAGCGGAAAATTCAGGTCAGGCGACCTTAATACCAATTCAATTCTTCGCTAAATTTAGCTGGGAATCGAATTGGTGTTGGTGTCTCGTGACATAAATTTTCCCGCGAGATCCAGCGGAGAACCATAATTTGTTTATGGGTGACGTGCCAAGTAATCTGATGTCTTTTTTCCCGCTAACTTTAGCGGGGAAACTGAATTGGTGTTGAGGTCACGTGACGCCGATTTCCCCGCTAAATTTAGCGGGAGGAGGAGGGGTGGACGGAAAGGAGGAGGGGGAAGAGTAGGACGAGGAGGAGGAAAGGAGGTGAATAACCTCTCCTTCTTACCCTTCCCTCTTCCTCAAGAGCTGCGCTCTAGTTTGGGATTATACAGATTTGCAAACGTCTTTCAGTTTTTGTTCTTTACTTCAGAAGAGTCGAGACACCAACTCCCACAGTTATTTAAGGAAAGCGCTGAAATTTAAAGGAGCTGTGCACAAATTTCAGTGCTTTGCTAAATAATTGTGGGAGTTGGTGTCTCGTCCCTCCAGAAGTAAAGAACAAAAACCGCTTTTGCATGCATGCCCTAGTTGGTAAATTAAAAAAAAAAAAAAAAAAAACGATTGAGGATTTTGGCATTTCCCAACACCTTCACCATCTTCTGAGTCACTCCCGCTGTGACGTCAAACGGGAATGAGCGGGGTTCCGGTGAAGATTCCTCTCTTGCGCCATCAGTAAGCAGCGAGAACTCACCCGCTCGCGAACAACGTGACCACGTGCTAGCTCAGCGCGGTGAACATGGCGAAAGGAGGAAGGTGCCAACGTGCACGTCTGCGTCCGGCCGTGGACGTGCACGTGCAGCTCCTCGCGGTATCAGATAGAGCTGCCGGGTTCGTTAACCTCGGATAGATGGCGTCACTGAACCTCTGTATAATTAAAGTTTTGTCGATGATACCAAGCTTTTGGAGCATTCATATCTATGTTGGAATGACAAGCTTTATAGAGAGATTACCTTTTATTGAGCAAGTACTCGCACAACTTGCTATCTTATTACAAGTCCCCCTTTGACGTCACGCCGCGTGGTTCTCATGGCCGCCGATCGCGGCTGCAGATCGAGAAATTTCTAATTATTGCCTCGCGGTTACGTTGCAGAATCACAACGTCTTGAAGGAAGGAGATCTGTTTTCTGTCCTTTTGATAAGGTGAACATTGTCAAAAGTAGAACGTGCAAACCTTTTCAGCGTTAAAATCGTTCCACAGCTCCTTTAAGGAAAGCACTAAACACCGCGCGGTAATTCCGAATTTCAACCCGATTTTTTTTTAGAGCGCAGCTCTAAGGCTGAATTCCATGGAGTGATTTATGCGACGAATAGCTGAAGAACGTCGCCCGACGGCACGGTCGACTTACACGCGACGTAGCAGCCACTGTGTTGATTCCACGCGCAAAGCAAATGCCGCCGGGCGAAATTCCTCGATTTTTCGCAGC